GTTCATGGAAACATCTCAGAGACATGGATGCACATGATCACGCTTTGGGGTGCCACAGCAAAAGCTTTGTTTTTACATGTCATTATAAGTTACTGAGGGTAGCTGATTGGCAACAAGTGGCCATTTTATTCATGGCAAATTAAATATTCAACACAATAAACTGCAAAACGTGGAGGGGTCTGAATACTTTTTTTAGGGGGAAAAAACAACAACTCTATAGTAACTCTATCCATCTATCCATCCATCCTCAGAGAGAGCTAGATGCTATCCACACATACTCTGGGTTAGAGGCACTGTACATCCTGAACAGCAGCCCATCACAGGACTAACACACACACACACACACATGGTGATGTTTGACCTTGAAACGGATCTGAAAACAGCCTTTTAAAGAATGTGGAGCTTATGTAACCGGAAGGTAATCTGTGGAAGGTGCAGCAAGCTAGAAGGAACCAATGTCTGTGTTGGGGAAATCTTCACCTGGCACCACACAGCTGTGCCACTAATCCTCTGGTTTAAAGAGGAACAGGCCCACACACATACACACACTTGTTGGCTGTTTTGCATTTAACATACAGTACCTCCATAGTTTTCCAGCAAAGGCACAACAGATGTTTTGCATTGAAAAATCCATTACTCAAACCAGTAAAAGATTATTTATCTCTGGTGACAGCGTGCAGTGGGTGTTTCATATGTTACATTGCAATCAGAGTAACTTCTGTGAAGGCGCTGTACAGTATTATTTATAATCTGAGGTGTCTGTTCTTCAGTATCCATAGATACTCCGCTTGTCCTGTAATCCAACGTGAAAAGAGAGCTTAAGAATGTGTTAAAGGACCAATGTCTGCAACTGTCAAGTACAAATTGGAAATAAAAGGATTCTGTCACCTTGTAGGAGTAGCCTGCCAGAATTGTGTTTGTGGACGGGACATTAGCTGTGTGGGCACGAAGAGTCAGTGCTTTGCTTGCTTTTCATTAGCACGTCCTTCTCTGTCAGACGTGAGCGAGGGCGACATTTGCGTAATAAACAAGGCGATCAGGATCAAATGAGAAGCAATGGAAAGAGCTGGGCAGGTGGGAGGGATGGCGCAAGGATGAAAGAGAGGAGAAGGGGATACCACACAAATCCGCACATCCGGAGAGGAAAATGTCAAAGGAAACAAGAGCCCAGCGTGGCATCTGTGTGCTCTGCTGCGTGTTTGTATGTAGACATAGGAAACAGTATAGAAGCTCCGTATGTGTGATGTCAAGCTTTATGTTTAACAGGGCAAAGCAGGTTTGGGTTTATTTATTTTTTGTTACTACCTACTCTTCACTCAACTGCCTGGAGCTTTACACGACCAGTATCATAGGATTCTCATATAAAAATGCTGCATTACTAAACCAGCCAGTTTAGACGTTGGTAAAGGCTTTTCACCTTTTATATAACACTGGCTTTGTTTTAAGGAATACTTTGACATTTTATGTTTACCTTAGCTTAGCACACAGTCTTGAAGCAGAGTGAGTCTGGCTATATATGAAATCAAAACATGCCTGTAAAGATTCCATCAAGGAGCAACCCTAACTACCAATGTCTCCACAGAGATGAGGCCAAAAACCTCGAGGTAGCCTCTTAATCCTATTTTTAATTGTGCTAATAAGGCCAGCTGAGGTAGAGGCTGGATGCTCAGCTCTTTTAAATACAGCAAAGTTGAAAAAAATAGATGCTTTGTGTGGTGCTCAGCTTGATTTGTTTTCCTTTCAACTGCTGGAAAACAAGTTTTGTGCTAAATCAAGCAGGCATGAAGCAACAATGAGGACCACACTGCAAATATCTCCTTTAAATATCTTATACACACAGATCAAGCTCATCATCCCCAAGACTTCTACTATTTTTGGCCGTAACTTCTTTCGCTTTGCAGCAGCTAATGACTGGAACACCTTACAAAACACCCTCAAACTTCCAGCTTTGACTCCACTCACCACCTTCAAGCTTAAAATCCAACAGATTGTAGTTGACTGTTGCTCCTGCTGATCACGCCGGACTTTACTTACATACTTATGTACACACACACACATACACACACACTTTCTTACACTTCATGCACATCTTTTCTTACACACATGCATATGCTCCCATGCTTCTTACTTGTTTACTTTTGTTCCATGTTCTGTTTATGTGTCTATTTGTGTCTGTAGTTTGCATGTGTATTTGTTCCTGCTGGTGCCTCTCGGCCATGTCATATTTGCAAATGAGAACTGGTTGTCACAAACATTTTTAACCTAGCAAAATAAAGGTCAAATAAAATAAATAAAACACGCAGTCAGGGCTCCATCACTCCATAGTACAGTATACTGATTTACATTTATCTCCTGGAGACTTACTCAAACCCCAACCATAGTTACTACTTAGTAAGTCCTTATCTCTACCCTTAACTTAACCCAAATCTTCAAACTGAAATATCAACGTTAGTTCCCAGACATGGGCTGGGTCCTCACAATGTAACTGTGCTGTGTAAGATCATTTTCAACATAAATAATACAATTACATTTATACACACATCCATATCTAGCTCTCTCTCTCTCTCTCTCTCTCACTCACTCACTCACTCACTCACAAATACAGTATTTAGATGGTGAGGCTGACACTGATGCTGACAAGGATGAAGAGGAAGCGTTAGACATCTGTTTATCACAGGGAAATGAATTTTCCATGAAGGCATCAAATGCCTCATTGATACATTGATACACAAGAACTGCTGAGGCAAATATTAAAATGATTTACAGTGACAGGGTAATTTATGTGTAACATGCAACATGGACCAAGTATAGACTCCTTCCCGCTGCGCTGTAGGTCAGGATTACGTTGACACGGAGTCGATTTAGAGCAGGTTGTTGTGACCCTGTAAGCACTTAGTATAGCACCTAAGTTTAGGCCACTTTCCAGTACTGTAAATGGCTCACTGAACAGATTCCACTCGAGGTAATTCCACTTAAATCAAGACCGTCTTAGGATTTTAGGCAAAGTATCTACTTGAACCAACATGATTGAGGTGAAGTCTGCTGGTGTTTGATTGTACAGTTTTTACAGAGTTCACCAAGTTAAATGAATGCCTTCTAAATGCATTTGCAATACAATATAGAATGAAATGTAATATATTTTACTATGTAATATTGATCAAAGTAAAAAGCAACAGGAATATATAGTCCACAGTTGTTATGAATATGGTCTTTATGTCCCAATCTTGTTTGTGCATGCCAGGCATATTTAACAATATTTTTAAAAAAAATTAAAATTAGTGTTAATCCAGCAAAAAAACTACAATGAAATTATGTTTTAGCTAAAATGACCACCCCCTTGCTACTGTTACTAGGAGTGATGATATGCAAGGACAATATATACCAACATAAAGAAAACAAGATCCCCACTGGTGTTTTTTTATATCATGGGCAAAATAAGCAACGACTATGGCTGAGGATTTTCAAATTGAAACTACAGTGAACCAATAAATCTCAATACCCCAAACTTTAGACTTCCAGCCAATTCTGTGAACATGCAGGGTTGGACTTTCTCTAGTTTTCTTCTAGTCAGTTTCCAGTTCCAACATGTACAGTTAAAGTCTTAAATTTTGTCATGTACCATGTTTGATGACAATAAAGCATTCTATTCTATTCTATTCTATTCTATTCTATTCTATTCTATTCTATTCTATTCTACAGCTGAATTACTTCAATATTTCAACCTGCCATTGCGAAGCGTAAAGTAGCTGTACATTAGTTTTTTTATGGGTACAATGTCTAAATATGCAATTTTGATGCAAAGAGATTAGTTTTCAGGGGTTAAATCAATGAGTGAGAGGGACTTCTAGAATAATTTTGCTGAACAATCCATTGATGTACCAGTTTCACTTGTATATGTGTAATGTCCCCTGACCACCTGATGTCATACAAGAAAAACAATAATTAACGTTTTTTGTTTAAGACAGGTAAAAAAAATAAAAAATCAAGGCCATTGTAAATAAAAAATAATATTTTTTCAAACATACCCATGTTTTTTCTGAGACAGCGAAGCTGAAGCACAAAGTACAGTTGAGGCTGATAGAAATGACTTTTATCACGAAACAATGAATTTTTGACCAGACTAGCTGAAAAATTGGGGGTTACCAAGGTTACTACAATTTATCCTCCAAATGTCACAGCAAATCATTCAAGAGCTGTTGAGACAATTCATTAAAAATCAAAAATGTCAAACCTAATACAGTGCCAGAGGAAAAAGTCAGCATGTCACTCAAGGCTTTAACCTCTGAGGACCATGAATCCTAAACAGTAGCTGTGGGGCTCTTTCTGTGTGGACCACAGTGGCACTGGCTGACCTGAAGACACTGTCTCTACAAACATTGCTCTGTTATATGAGGGGGTTAGTGTCAAAGTGGACCAAACTCCATTTTTTACTTTTTGAGAAAAAAACTGATTCAAGGTTTGTCTTGCTAAACACTGAAGACTTTACATGGGTCATCATAAGGAACTAGAGATACTTCTGGGGACCATGGGGTAGAAATAGATGCTTGGTAGTGATTAATTAAGTTTTTATTTTATCTTATTTTTCACAGGGCTCAAGGTCGTGCTGTCCACCATCTTGAATAGCAAACACGTGCAACTACCTGCACCTGCGATATAATGGTCAGCAGTTCCTGTGGCTTGGCCCAGTTTGCCACTGAGTTTTCCTGTGAAAACCATTATGGGCCAGACTTCAAGGCTGCACTGCAACATCACCACTTTGTCATGAACTAGTCGATCACAAACACTTAAACAAACACTACAAAAACCATAAAACTCAACTTTGGATTTTTTGTGGTTTGGCCCACTTTGGCACTGAACCCATCATATGAGGTGGTAAACAGCTGATTTTTGACAGAAAATATGTCAGTTTGAGGGCAGTTTCAGTTCCTTCAATAATAAGCTGTCGAAACAGTGCATATATGTGTGAACACTTCCTTAAAAAATGACATGATAAGAATCACTGAAATCAAATAGCGCAAGCTGCAAATATTTAATGGCAACATAGTAAGTCAACATATGCAGTGGGACGTGACATGTTAATCACCATGTCTCTCCATTCATTACATGATGCATGTTATACAACAATGAGGTTTTTTTAAAATGTCATAATTAGGTTTTTTTTTTGCCATCAATGTCACATGGACCCCCCGATTCATCTTTATTACACTTGAAGTCCATGGTGTAACTTTGTTAACACTTGGTTCCTTATATCCACAGTTGTCCTCATACAGCTGAAGTCTGCTCCCTTTTGGTCATTCGTGGGTCATTCCTGCTCTCTCTGGAGTAATCAGAGTCACTGATGGAGGGAAACCCAACCCTCTGCTCCATCCATTGGGCGACACTGAGCAGCTTCTTGTCGTGGAGGGCAGGGCCTACGAGCTGTAAGCCAATGGGAAGGCCCCGTCTTGATAATGCCGTAGGCACAGAGACAGCTGGGAGACCTGGGGTGAAGGTTGAAACAAGAGTTGAAAGAAAGTTCATGGAAAAGGCAATGACTAAGATCTTAAAGTTGTTACTTTAGAAAGGAGGGAGAAAGTTTAAAGGAAAGTAAACCTGCTCCTTTAGCTCTCTGAGGTACATTTTAACTCTCTGAACACAAAAACCTGCTGGCGGATTTGAAAGGCATGTTTTCTTTATTATTTTTTTAATTGCCAAAATTACACCATTTATCAAAGAAGCAAGCGCTAAAACCAGAAAGAATCAGAAAGTAACTAATCAAATCTAAGCTTAAAACTGTAACGTTTCATGAACCGTTCACACTAACAGATTATGTACAGCAACTAACTCAGAACTCCTTGGTGCATCTGAGAAGCCGTGACTGAATCAGCTGCGATGAACAGTCACGCGACTAACGTTCAGGAGTAATAAAAAATCCTAGCAAAAGTAGTAAAATATCAATAGAATGCAGAGCCACCATTTATTTTCTACCGAGGGGCATTTGGAACAATTTTGTACATGTTGATTCCAGGATTTGTCAGTTATTGAAAAATAAATTATCAAAGTAATTCAACTTTTTTCCCCCCCACTATAACTGTGTTATGCTGCACAAAAGAAAATATATTTTCGAGTTCTCTCTACTTCTGGCTATAGCTGTTCTGTGTCCATAGAGGTGTAGGACTTTGTGTTGCAGTAAAAAATTAGAGAGGGAAAATGTGATGGTTGCATTAAAAAAAAAAAAAACTGTGAGAAAGAACAATCAGAACCTGCTGTGGTTCAAAAGGTTAAGCTGAGCTGAAATTATGATGTGTTGACTAGGTTATATGTTTTCTTCCAGAGATAAATGGCAAAACGAGGGAACTGCTTGTAGTTACATTAAGCCATTTCCCCTTTTAATTTCACTTTGACATTTATGTTTGAATGGGCCTTTGTTGCAGGATAGAAAATAAGAAGTATTAACTACACTGATGTTGTTTTGGTGAAAGGTTTCTAGTTACAGGTGTGGCTGTGCACAGTACATGTGAGTATCCACAGTGTAGAATATTTCAGTTCCTCCCATACTTCCTTCACATGCATCAGTACTGCCACAGGTTCAGACTGTGTACCTGCCATGTTGGAAGGCTGGGTGAAGACGTCTTCCTGTGCACTACGTGTTCGGTTGTCTTCCTGTGTGAAGTCTTGGTAACAGGCTGCGTCAGCCAGTGTGGTGGGTGTCAGCAGCACATCAACACCTGAGCTGAACACGTTCCTGAAATCGTCTGCTATAAGCCGGCGGACTTTTTGGGCTTTCACAAAGTAGTGCTGGTAGTTCCTGAAAAAAAAAAAAAAGGGTGTGAGAATGTCAATAGATGATTCTTTCTGTTTTCACAGTTCCACTGCCATAAGATAACGTTATTTCCTTTTCGTAAAAAGGTAGCTCAGAAAACAACCAAATCCTCTTGTGACTGTAGAGTCTGATAACAGAGAAAAGGTCATAGTGATAAAGTATCATTCTGGTGCCATGTTGGTGAAGGGAAAACCAAAGCTGAACAAAGGTTCGGGGTGTGGTCTTACTGTTTTAGCAGAAAGTAGTTCCCAGACAGTATCCTCCCTCTGACTACATCGTTAAAGCCTTCATGTCGGGTTGAGGCATACATTGCCTCTGTTGAGCTGTCAGTCTCACTACGGTGACCTGGCCAACAACAACAGAAATCAATTACTTTATTTTTATCATCACAATGTGACATGTTGCAACAGATATAACTGGGTGCAAGATCGATCTAAACCACAAGAACATACTGCAGACGGCTTCGTACCGTATTCTAGACCGTCAAAACGGGCCATGTTAGACGCCACTTCAGCGTGGCACAGGACGTGGTAGCACACAATGGAGTACTGGGTGTGGGGTAGTGACACTTGCTTCACCTGTGCACCTGCCCTCTCAAACAAGTCAGCAACACGACTCCACTGTGCTAGAGTCTCCTCAGACAGCCCTGGGGCATGGTACTCCTGACATAACAAGGGACAGGAAAGACAAGAGGATTTCGAAACTGAATGTATCCGTGTTCATTCAAACATTCACGTATCAAACAATTATTTCAAAATACGTGAACTTTGATTTGATGTCTTTCATCTATCTCTCCATCCAGCATTTAACTGGATATCATTTGTAAATGTAAATTCATTCTTTACTTCTCTGCTCTGTTCTTCATCACAATTTGTTACTTTTTATTTTATTTATATTTCAGGTCTTTCAAAAGTGTTTGAAATTTAGAAAATGAACCAACAAAAATTGCCAACTTTCAGATATAAATGCTGCAGGTCGTTACCAGCAGCAGTTAATTTGCAAATAGAATATATTATAATGAGGCTAATAATACCCTTTATGGCTGCAATATTTATATTACACAATTGCGCTCACCTTAGGGATGCCTACGCAGATGTTCTTGACATCAAAGTTTTCAGGAAGCTCTGCTAGTGATGAGGGGGCAGGAACTGTTGTTGAATCTCTAACATCAAGACCTTGGAGGATACCTGTTGGACAAATCAACACAGTCCCAGGTCTAGTATTGAAGGACAGTATGACAAATGGACAATATGGAAACGCAACAACAAACATTCTTGCCATTATGTCAATAAGTTTAAAGCTTCCCTTAAAAAGACTGATTAAAGAAAAAACAAAAAGAACTAGGTATACGGTTTTCTTTTTTAAAATCAGACAGTGAGTATATTTAAGTAGGAGCTGTTTTTACCTTTTGACATGTTAAGACTGTCACTTCAGTCTTCCTCAGAAACGTCACTGACGTCTGTGGTGACGTGTCTTTATCAGCTGGTGGTTTCTTGGCAATCTGTCAGATTTGCCCGACGGGCCACGCCTCCTGCCGCCCGGTGGTCTCTGCAGGAGAGCGTCTCATGTGTGGAACAGCATGAATGCCCCCTCATCACGGCGAGTCATGCCTCCTCCAGGAAACCACCAGCTGATAAAGACACGTCACCACAGACGTCCGTGATGTTTCTGAGGAAGACTGAAATGACAGTCGAAACACGTCAAAAGGTAAAAACGGCTCTGACTTAAATATACTCACTGTCTAATAGAAAAAGAAAACCGTATACCTATAATCAGAGTAGACAAAATGAACCTAATCACGCAACCAAAATAACTGTCTATTTTTAATGTCTCTTACAAAAAATAATTGTGTGGATTGTTGATATCTAACAAACACTTTTAATGCATTTTTTTCCCATGAAATATTGGCAAACCTCCCTTTTTAATGTTAAACTGTGCAGATTTACATTCACGTTTGCTTGATTGCAATTTTTGGCCTATAGCTGTCTGTTGGTGTGTTAATGCCACCAGCTGTTGATCACTGGGCAGGTATTGAGCCAGTGGTGGCCACAGCAGGACACTGCAGGCCGCTTTATGGTGGCCTGAACCTTTGCACGAGTTCAGACTGCAAGAGCCGCCCCTGTAGAACCTCTTTCTGGACCGTTTTTAAAGGAGAAAAAATGATCTACTCTGGGGAAGGTACTTCTGAAAAAAAAAACTGCTGTGTAGGGCTCAATGCTGATTGGTTAAACTCGGGATCAATTTTCAAGCACCAAGTGCCATTTTTAAGTTTTTTCGAGCAGTAATCTTCTCCTCTCAAATAACGACATTGATAATGTAAAATGTTCCCTACAGGCTAACATAACAAACCTTTGTTCAATTGCTTACATGCTCATAGAACTGGAGTCACGTCCAGTGGCTACTATTTGCTGTTGCTTTGATACACTCAGAGTTAGCTGCCTTAGGTTACAAGAGAAATGAGGACCCACAAGAAAACCATTGCTCTATAGTGCTACTAGTGGCTGAAACTCTGCAGGGTACCTTTGATATCAGTATTCCTTACGATATCTGAAAACACATGTGTGTATAAACCTAAACTCGATGTCAAAGGAAAGACGTGACTAATGACCAACTTCAGAGGAGAAATTAAAAAGTTTAAGTAAACCCAGAAAACATCCAGCTATAAATGCAAGACAGTGAAGCCTAAGAAACTGCCATCAGTGTATTGACAGGTTACTAGTTGATTTCTTACCTAAGGCAATGGCCGCATCATTGACACTGCGTGTCAGTATACCAGGGACATCCATGGAGTTAACCAGGGGGATGAGACCATGTCTGGACAGCAGACCGTAAGTGGGTTTTAGAGCCACAACACCACACAATGCTCCTGGGTTACGGGTGGAACCACCTGTGTCTGAGCCCAGAGCCCTGAAAAATAGCAAACCAGCAAATTTGCACACGTAAACACCATTTTGAATCAAATCTTTCTCTCTGAGTTTTTTTGCGACACTTTTTTGAGGAGTGAATGTGAATGTGCTTCCTCACAGGTAGCTGGTGAGCGAGGCCACAGCTGCAGCGCTTCCACCTGAACTTCCTCCAGTGATGACCCAGTCAGAGTCCTGCACTGCCCCCGTCTGCTCTCTGTAGGGAGCAGCATAGCTCCAGGGGTTCTTTACTGGACCGAAAGTCCCATCGGTGCTGCCCGCACTGGGAGAAAGAAACAATTCAGAAAAAGTACTGTCATTTTTGTATCTGTACAAAGTCATATTTATGTTACATAAAGCAAATTGATAAACAGTCTGGGATGTGCAAATGAATAGCTATTGCCAAAAACATTCTTATATAGATAGAAACAATTACCCCATTGCAAACTCATCCATGTTAGTCTTCCCCATCAGAATGGCCCCTTGGTCAAGGAGCTTCTGGACCATTGTGGCATTGTATGGTGGAGTGTAGTCTGTATCCAAAGTAGTAGCAGGTTATTATTACTGGATTAACATGTAGTCCAACATTTAAGGCACAGCAACTTTTTTACAGAGCTAGTTCAAACAGACCTTTAAGCATCTTGGAGGCACAAGTTGTCTTGATATCCTTGGTGCAGAAGTTGTCCTTGACAGCAAAAGGGATTCCATCCAAAGGACCTTTAGGGACACCTGAAGGAAGACAAGATCAAACTGTAACACCTGTGACGTCACACAGACAGAATAAATCTAAACGCACGACTCCAAACCTTGCAGTAGCCTGGTTTCTGACTGCTGAGCCTGCTTCAGTGCTAACTCCTCTGTCACAGTGATGTAAGCGTTCAGATGCTGTGTTTTCTTGATGCGATTCAGACACTTCTTGCAGAGCTCTGTGGGGGAGATTCTTCCCTCCCTGAGTGCCAAAGACACCTGGAGAACAAGGATGAAACACCAGCGGTGAAGTTTCGTTTAAACTGTTGTTTAACCAACTAATCAATCAAAGTAATCTAGCTAGTCTACATCTTAAATAAATCAGTTATTTGGTCTATAAAATGTATGAAAATAATGAAATATGTCAATCAGCATTTCCTAAAATCCAAAATAACACCCTTGTTCAGAATCCAGAAACATTCAGTTTACTGTTATAGCATAAGAAAGAATACATAAAATATCGCCATTTGAAAAGCTGGAATGAGAGATTGTAGACTATTTGACAAGCAAAATAAATATATTAGTTGACAAGTAGTCGATTATTTATTGCAGCTCTGGTTCTTTCTGAGCCAGCAGCTGCCAATTTCTTTGGCTGCTAACGAACATATTTCATGAGTAGCGTTACAAAGCATGAAAGTTTAGTAGGCCATTACTAGCTGTTCTTCTTTTCCCTGTCTTATACAACATTCACATGTTTCACAGTGAACAGAACGCAGGAAAACCACCAAAGACATGTTAATACTTTTGTCAGAAAACATGTCACTAACAGACTACTGTACTGGAACTACCTCTGAGAAGCAAGCATTGTACTAACCTCCTTTAAAGTCAGGCTGAGCATGTTTGCTGTACTTTAGAGGCAACCTTTCAAATTATCAACAACCTTCGGAGTGTGCAGCAGCAGCAGGCTGCCATGTTTGTTCCAATCGTCACCGTCTAACAGCGCTGTCTGTGATTGGACGGCTGTTGAGGAAGCCGCGCCCTGATTGGTGGAGGCGCTGGCCAGGACACCGGTCGAGCTGAAGGCATGTTACGGAAGAAAAGGACGTTGTTTTGAAATTATTCTAAACTTTGGAATTATTGCATTTCTCGGAACGAGTAGTGACAGATATTTCATAAGAAGAAAATGTTTACAGTCAGAAGGTAGTGGTGGGTTATAACGAACTTGTGAGTGCCTTGCTCTGATGTAGCCTGAGCAGTCATCTCTCTGCACTGTTAGCTAATCTACAGTCCATCAGTTTTATTTTGGACGCTTGTAAGAGTGTAAGGATGAGTTCTGTCAGACATCTAGCGTACAGTAGGTTGTTCTGTCATCTCAGTAAATCAAAAAGTGTGCCCAAGTCAGTTTCCAGTCATGGCAGCCAGACAAGGCTGTTCAGCAGGTCCAGCAGATGCAGGACTATCATGCCTGCCTGGGTCATTGACAAGTATGGAAGCAATGATGTTTTACGGTACACTAAAAACGCTCCTTTCCCCGTCATCAACTATCCCAATGAGGTCATTGTCAAAGTGTTTGCAGCAGGACTGAATCCGATTGATGTCGGCATGAGAGGTGAGTGCATCAGAATTTGACTTGGTCTTAGGTGCACAAAAGTGAACACAGATAAGCTAAAAAAAAATAAAATCAAATATGTAAAAGATTAAAGAAAAGCACGGGTTGCAAGATCAATAGTAAGACTCACAGGACAAATTGAAAGCAACTGTAGAAAAACACAGCTGTTGTAATAATACAATGGAATGGAATTTAGGTGAAGCAGCAGATTGTGCAGGAATGTGCAAAATCTCACAGCATGTAGTGCAAACAACTTGAAATGTGTCAACAGATGTTAATAATCCAATTCAAAAGCTGTGTGTTAATGTGACACATTGAGTCAATGTGGTGTGGGGAGAGAGGTAAAGTCACCGGGGCCTCTGGTTTTGTTGATGAGGCCAGCTACTGTTGGGATGAAGCTGCTCTTGTGTGACGAGGTTCTGGTCCTGATGGATTCCTGCCAGAAGAGAGTGGCTCAGTTTGTTTCCTGTGTGGGAGTGATCTGAAACAACCGTTGTAGCATATATCAGTTTCTTGGAGGTGTGCAGGTCCTGGAAGGTCAAGGGATTTCGCAGTCACCTTTTCGGTTGAGCAGGTGACACGCTGCAGTCTGGCCCTCGCCCTTAGCGGTGGCAGCAGCATACCAGGCGGTGATGGAGGAGGCGAGGATGGACTCCATGATGGAGGTGTAGAAGTGTACCATCATTGTTTTTGGCATGTTGAACTTCATCAGCTGCTTTAGGAAGTACGTCCTCTGCTGAACCTTCTTGATGATGTAGCTGATGACTCCTACTTGGGGTCCTGGGTGACGATGGTGCCCAGGAAGCAGAAGGGTCGACGGTGGAGTCACACAGGGTGATGGGAGCGAGGGGGGCTGGGTCCTTCCTGAAATCTACAATCGTCTCCACTTTCTGCAGACAAGAGTGCGCCAAGTTGTTTTGCCTGAAACAGGTCACAGGATGTTGAAGCTCTTAGACTTGTGACTCGAAGTGCAGCAGTTTGTATACTGGAGAAGAGCAAAGCTGAAAGGACACAGCTTTGTGGTGATCAGGTACTTATAGTCCAAAAATTGGAAACATGTTTCCTCAGCTTCACATGCTGCTTGCTGTCAGCAGAGCAGAAGTGATGGTGTTGAGAATAAAAGAAGTGTTGGAGACTAGTGACTATAACAACAAGGATCCAATAAAAAAAAAAACACATCAGATATCCAAGCTTAGATATAAAATGTTTGACTGGAGTTGTAAAGTTTTTTTTTTCTTTTTTGAGAGAAGTATAATTGAGATGCTGTTAAAGGGATGTTTGCTGTGTTTTGATGTTTAAAAAAAAAAAAAAAAAAACTAAACTAAACTAGAAAAAATCATCCAAACCATCATCCCCTCCCACACAGCCTCAGCTTGTTTTACCTCTCTGCCATCTTCAAGGAAGTGGTGGGTTACTGTAGGGGTGGAAGAGGGGCAGCTGCAGTGAGCGTGTCTAAGGGTTGTGTGATGTAAATGTAAGTTTAACTAGCTTGATTGTACTCTGACTGTATTATACCATAAAATGTTATTTTGTCCCAGCCATGTTTTCATGTTAGTTGTGATAAAGCAATATGAAAACTAGAATCCAGTAAACTCTGTTTCCAGGTTGGTGATCAGTGACCTGAGACATGTTTTATTACATAAATACCTTGTTAAAACCATCCTCTCTAATCTTATGTAATTTAATTAATGGCATTAAAGCACTTATCCTATTTTGAGTAATTAAATGACCAAAAAAGAATTCACTGAATCTGGGCTTCCCCCTGGGGATCAGGGTCTCCAGGTCAGTTGCCTCATCGCTCAGCTGGTAATCCAGACTTGTACTTAAAGAGGAACACCCTCATTAACAGGAAAGCCCAGGTTCTTATGTAGGCATGTAGGATTCTACAGTGTAAACCAGCTTGGGAAGTGTCTTGTGTGGGAGTACAGCTGAGGCTGCTGGGAATGTCCCCAACTGGAGAAGTACTTAGATGCAGAGCTGAACATTTGATGAAGCTGTTTTTGAAATCACAATACAACTATAACCAAATCGCAAGTAAAATGTGTCACAATGTACTGCCCTAAATATAGTAGTGTTGTGCTACAGAGATGCCCCGGCTCACAAATCACAATCTGCCGAGTCCAGACATAAAGGACCATGCTTGTTTTCAGCAGAAATCCAAATTTTAAAATTTGTTTCAGTCAAAATTAAATGCAAAAATTACTATTCCAACTCAAATCTTGAGTCATGTTGCAATGCCAGTATCTGTCCAAATAACTGTCCCATTCCTGGTGAGACTGAAAGCATTCCAAAAATTGCTTTTTTAATCCTACTATTTGCTCATCTTTGACTGTGCTCTAACTGTACGCTTTGGCAGTAATCAGATACTTTCTCTTTGTCAGGTGGCTATGGTGCAGCTACGATGTCTATGAAGAGAGACCCTCTGAAACTAAAGCAGTCAGGCAGCGAGTTCCCTCTCATTCTGGGAAGAGACATGTCTGGGGTCGTCATGGAGTGTGGCCTGGATGTGAAGTACTTCAAAGAAAGAGATGAGGTAAAGATAGCAAACAGTAGATTAGCAGAAGTGAAGTGAGTCACGTATGAATATGAGTGTTAAGTATGAAGTCAAAGAGACCATAAACATCCAGCTGCAGCAACAGTGAGTAAAAACAACTTCAGACAAGACAGATTAGACAAGAACCTTTCAGTCACATCACAAAACTATGAAAACACAAGACCTGTGCTAGTGAATATTATGGTCTGAAGTCACATGGTGATGGCTGAGTCAGTGTTTGGCAGGACCGTTGTTAGCATGTCAGTGGTGCAAGCATTTGGCGCTGTAATAATGTGGGAGGGTTTTCTTGGCTTGCATGAGGCTGTGTAATGCCATCTGAGCTTCACCACCACAGAAGATGTGAGCACTGTGGGTGACCTAGTTCAGCCACTTCTGGCTACAGTGTGTGCTTTGTCACTGCCATCCTTCTTCCAGGATTATACAACGTCATTTGAGCCTGGCTTAGAAAAATAGCATGACGTGACCCTTCTTCATATCTCAGCCCAAAACAACTGTGTGGAATGAGGGGGAATGAGCTCTGGCAACAAGCTGTGGGATTCTCTTGAGTCTTGTGCAGTTTGCTCTGGGCTGCCCAGGTGGCTGTTTGAACCATAAATAGGATTCAGCTCCCCCAGCCTTTTTTTGATAGCCTTTAAATGAAACTTGTGGCATTGTGCTATTATGTTATGGTTGCCACGGTGCCTTCACCTCTCAGCCTCTGAGCCTGCCAGTTCAGCCACTTAGCTCTTGTCAGCACTCGTGCCAAAGTAATTCTAGATTAATTAAGTAAAGGATGCTCTGACCTTAAATACAGTGCACAGACATAGTAACTAAACCACTCCCTATATTTAGCGTAACAAGGCTGTTAATACTAGCAGGTTATCTGGAATCAGAATGTGCTTAGGTAACTCTGAATTAACCAAAAAAATAACCTCACAAACTGGTAAGGCTGCTCAGTAGATAGCACGTCCAGCTCATCCATCCATTTCTAACTGCTTTACCCTGTGTTGGGGGGACATAGGGTGACAAGCAGGATGCACCCTGAGCAGGTTTATCACAGGGCGACAACACAGGAAGAACGTGCAAACGCTCCGACCCTGACATTCAAACCCAGGACGCTGTAGCTGTGAGGTGACGGTGTTACCACCCATGTGCAGTTCGTAGACTGTAGATAGACAAACCGTCTCTGATGCCATTCACACATTTCCTGAAGAGTGTTTTTGAAACTCAATGGGATGTCTGTCACCCTCTTGGCAGTGTCTCACTTCCCTCAAACCGCCGCTCAGAAAAGCTATGAGTGATGCCACAGAGGCTTTGTTCAGTTTTATATCCACTTAATGGAATTGATTCATTTTGGAGCCACTTGTGTTTGGTTCATTTGTTGCACTCGGAGGTTGCTGCTTGCTGCAGTCTTTCAGCGCTAAATAAATAAAAACTTTATTTTTTAGTTAGTTTCTGTGCACCATGTCTACAGCACCAGCTGGATTGTTGGTTTGAAGTCATGTTGACATTGTTGTCGTTCTAGCGATCTAACTAGTGAGGTCTGGCAGCAGAGGCAGGAGGCGTAGGATTGACTGAAAGGTGGAGGCCCTGAATGTTTCACTTGACATAGTGATGCTCATTTTTGACAGTGTTTCAATAGTTATGAAACAGACAACAGTTTGAGAATGAAACTTATTGTTAGTTGCAGTATATTTACTGAACACAATATTTATTGTACTCCACACAGAAAACTAAGATCATGTAATTGTTACAGTAGAGCAGCAACATTGATTGTATTAGTTGTCAGCTAAATTATTTGCCAACCATTTGGATAATGGAGTCATTGCTTCTGGTAATTTTTTAAGAAAAGAAAGACTAACATATTACACAACTGCAGCTTCTTAAATGTAAAGTTTTCTGGTTTCTTTCCCCCTCTATGACAGTAGACTGAATACCTTTGGGTTGTGGACAAAACAAGACTTTGGCTTTGGGGAGCACTGATTGACTTTTTCTTAATTTTCTGACATTTTATAGACCAAACAACTAATTTATTAATTTTTAAAAAAATTGTAAGTTGCAGCATTAGTTTACAGTCAACCAGTTCCATCTCACATATGTTTTAAATTGTATGTTATGTTCAGTGATCTTCATGTACTAATCCTGGAAGTGCGTCTGTGTGTTTGTGTCAGGGCTAACCGGATCTTTAAATAGGCCTGTTTTAACGCTTCATGAGGTCATACCCACTTTTTACATACTCGTTGACTCATGCAGTGACTCATGTGTGACATTACACATGTTACTGCACTTTTGACAAGAGATGTAACAGCTTCTTGTGCAGTCTCAATATATGAAACAACTAGCTGTACACTAATGCAGACGAATGTAGGTGTTGTTTTGTAGATTTTCTGCTAATGAATGTTGTGTTGTTGTTGTTGTCTCCCTCAGGTGTGGGCTGCCATCCCCCCGTGGAAACAGGGCACCTTGGCTGAGTTTGTGGTGCTGAGTGCCAATGAGGTAATGCTGAACTGATGAACATCTGCGTTTTGAGTGACGTTTTTCATGTTTATTTCTCCACTTTGTGTTTAAATGTGCTTCTGTTATTGGGAAGTTCATATATTCAGCGGTGTCACATCTAGTTCATCAGTTTCCTCTTTGTTGATTGCGGTTTATCGTAAGTGACACAGTTCACCAGTTTCAACATCAGTACACCAAATCTACAGCAATGTTTCTTTATTTAAAATGAAGAGGTTAACTGCTAGTTTAAATGTGAAACTTAGCTGAATCTAATTATAAGGACCCACTGAGTACATCATAGAAAGGTGTTGAGGCAGTGCTGCTCTTCTAACTGCATCTATTATTAATGTGTGCTTTGCGTAGGTTTCCCACAAACCAAAGTCGCTGAGCCACGTAGAGGCAGCAGCCATCCCCTACGTGGCAACCACTGCCTGGTCAGCTCTGGTTAATACTGGCGGGCTCAGTAAGGACAACTGTGCCAACAAGCGGTGAGGGAACGTGGGCAACCGCTGCTGCGAACACACAAAATTTCCTCCTGTTGTAAATCCCCGTCTATCCCCAAAGAAGCTCCCTGTCTTTGATCTAGTCAATTATTCCACTCGTCGCTCCTCCTGAGCCCCTTGTAGAGCGCTCCTTAATGAGCCTCTGTGTGATGTGCTGCGGTTCTCTGGCAGCGGCTCCGACGCTCCTTTACACTGCAGTGAACCTGACACAGTAAAGCTCCGAGCGGCTTTGACATGAATCTTAATGAGGGAGATTCTGTGTGGAAATAGTGCAGAATACGTTGTTGACACATGCATTGTACAGCAGATGTGTGCTTTACCTCTGCCCCGCAGGATTTTGATCCTTGGAGGGTCCGGGGGAGTGGGGACATTTGCTATACAGGTACGTGTGAAAAGGTGGATGATGATGGCCAAGCTGCTTGTTTTATATTTGATGTTATGGTGTGACATTTTCAAGTGAATCAGACAAAAAAACAACAACTCCCTGCCGCCAATACAAAAATGAGTGATGATTACTCATCCACCCAACAATAGCACTGAATGAAAAACCCCCCACTAGATTTCTAACGTCTGTGTGGCCTGTCAGGCTTCAGACTGTGTCACTTACCTCGACCTGAATACTCTAGCTCACATTACACAGACGTAACATTTGATCTCATTAATTTTACATTCCCTTTGCCTCTCAAACATTAGGCTACACTCTGTTCCTTACAATGACTCAGTTGTTTGTTTTGTAGTTTGAACCAAAGTGGTACAAGTGATAGCAGAACTGTATCCCTTTTTAACACACTCTAGAATAAACATGCTCTTATTAGTAGTTAGAGCCAACGTTGTTGTTTGTCTCCAGATGCTAAAGGCCTGGGGAGCCCATGTAACTGTGACCTGCTCCCAGAATGCCGAGCGGTTCGTCCGGGAACTCGGGGCGGACGACGTGGTGGACTACACTTCTGGACCTGTTGAGGAGCCACTCGGTGAGCTGGAGAAGTAAGAGAATGCCCCCCACACACAAACCTCCCTGCTGCTGCTGCACTCAGCTCATTAGTGTGGGAAAACTGAGCCCTTTAATTTTCTAGCAAAACTTAATCGCACTCACACTTTCTTCATTTTTCATCTACCCAATGATTCTTTTTTTTTTTGACTTTTTTTTCATGCCCACACTTTTCTGTCTCTTTACACTCAAGATTTGACCTGATCCTGGATAACGTTGGGGGCGACACAGAGCGTTGGGCGATGAATCTGCTTAAGCCTTGGAGTGGCAGCAAATATGTCACCCTTGTAACCCCGTTCCTCCAGAACACCGACATGCTGGGTTTGGCTGACGGCATGGTGAAGACTGCAGCTACAGTGGCCACCAAAGCTCTAAAGGTAATGACGTGTGAATGATGGCATATTTATTGTTGTTCCCCTTTTTCTGAACTGAGCCAGTTGCAACATGTTGTGACCACACTGTGCTTTGCAGAATTGCATGTATGCTGCTGTTGCTTTTTGCTGTAAGTACAGTGGTTATTGTCGTCATATCCTCTATTGCATGAATCACTTTTGCACTTTTCTGTACGTAGGCACTTGATTGCAGGACTTTGAATGGTAATAAAATAGGGCTAAACAATTAATCAAATAATAATCACAGTCACCGTTTTGATTTCCCGCAATTTCATGAACGTGATCGACGGTGACATTGAAGTTTACAATGTAGGCTCTTGTCCTAGCTAGTGTCTACTGTTAACCTGCTTGTGAGATGGTAGGTAATATTGGTAAAGTTCAGTGTCTATGCCTGAGCCGATGTTCAGCAAGTGAGGCGTTTTGGGTTTATTTATTTGATTTGTTTTGCCTCCAGTGCACTGAATTCAGGTGAGAATTATTCTAAGTCTGATTTTGATGCAAATATTTGTGCTCAAGCAGAAATGTAGCACAACTTGGAAGCAAAAGTAGTGCTCTGTTTATCTGAATGTGAAAGTGCAATAACAATATTTTGTCCCTAAAACCAGTGAATAACTGATCTGAGTATTGATCAAAAAATTCTTAATTATTATTCTGGCTATAATCGAGCAGCCCTTTAAAGGATTTTTACATTGTTGTATTACAGATCAGAACACTGGTAGAATACACTCATATACTGTATGATTACAGAACATCTAGTGTGATAACCACAAGTATTAATCTTCAGCAATAGGAGCCTTTATTCATTTTTTTTCCAAAAATGTGTTTTGGCCATTTTCTGAAAATATTCCAATCATTTATAAATATCATCAAAATGTGTGTGGTGTTTATAGTTGCACACATGCTGCTACAACTTCTCAGAGTGACACTTACTAGTACAAAAATAGTCAGTCCAGTAATAATTAGTCCCAGTTCTGGGCTTGTTGTTGAACACAATTGTTCCACTGTTTTGCAGTTAAGGTTGAATGGATACATGAAGGTATCTAGAATTTTTCTGGGTTTCAGCTGATGTGGTTCTGATTATGGACAATCTATAGACTTTAACACTCCCATCAGCTTTCAGAAGTCATAGCACCTCTTTCTTTTTCTCCAGCTGTGGCCACAGAAGAGTTTGTGACATCTTCAGTTTTGAATAGTGTCCGTGTTACGTCCCTGTGAGCTCGGGGATGAGGGGAGTAACAAGAGTAAGAATGAAACTGGGTAAAGGGACCAGGAAACTGTTTGTTCAACAAAAAACTGGATTGATTTTACAAACAAAGGGAAAACAAAACATGCAAACCAGAGCGAGCTCCCTGGAAACAAAACCGATCCAAAGGTCACCAACAACTCAACAACCGCAGAGTCCTCAGAGTCGCTGATATCAGGCCCAACACCACAAACGCCACCACCTCTGTCTGCCAATCTGGCTCTCTCTGGACACGATGATCAGGCTGGCTACTCTTTTCAATTGTCTCTTGATTAGTGCAGATCAGCTGCACCTGGCCACTCCCTCTGGGCACCACCTGAAAGGGATTCACACACAAACGACACCAAACCTCGTCCCCAAGGGCCGTAACAGTCCTGGAAACCTATTTATGCAGTTATAGGTGCAGAGTAAAGGCAGTTGAGGGAACGATAAGATTTACTCATCAGTCCTAACTTAACACTGATTGTACTTTTTTTTGTTTTTTACCATTGGACTGTGCCTCTCTGTCACCATTTCCCATGCTCCAGTTCTTTTTATAGATGAATTGAATCTCGAGTGGAGTGAAAATTAATCTTTATTAGCAAAGCTGTTGTCATAACACACACCCACAAATACCACAGTGTTGTAATGTGCTACATTTTTTTTGGTTCACATTGTGGGCCAGTGTGGAAGCAATGATACTGACTGAAGTTGTTTATTTCATTGTGCTCCAAGCGCTCCTGTGAAATAATGTCTTTAATTGTATAATATTTGCAAAACAATAGTAAAAGCCATTGTGTGCAATCATAACTCAGTTTCCCCATCCAGTGCATATTTTCTCCAGGTCCCCATTTAAATCTTACTAACATTTGACTTTATATCTGAACACAGACTGTATTATGACAGACATGAACAGCACAGCCACCGTGGACCTTAGTTGAGAATAACTACTCAAATGTGAAGTAATCTGGTCCAAATAGAAGATTGGAAACTGTGTGAGAGGAACTGCGTGAGAATGCCACATTCATTTCCTTTCAGATAAAAGAGGAAGCTATTCTTTGCTGATGTCTCAGATGTTCCAGCTATTGTGGTTAAAATGTTTGTAGTGTGAACAGTTGCAACTGCCACCAAGACACAGGTGTTAAAACGTCAAACCTCATTAATGAGGTGCTGATAAGGGCAAATATAAAATACAACGTCATTCACCACAACTTATTATTGCCTTGTCACCCCACTCTGTTGTACCACAGACGCACAGGCGCACCAGAGGAAGCAGCACTCTGTCTTGTACCCACTGTGGTGAAAATCATGCAGAGCAACGTTTGCATGCAGGGCTTTTGTGTGTGTGCATCATTGTTTCCACCTCCTTTTGACCACATAAGCCACAGTATGAACTCACTCTGGCATGTGTCACTGCTGTTTGCGGTGGTGAAGTACTTTGTATTAATACATGTTAATAGGTGTTTCTGTGTGGGTGTGGCAGAACAATGTCTGTCCGTTATTAGTTGAAGTCATTTTCATGTTTTCTAGGATTTTACCTGGAGAAGTATCAAAGGTAACAAAGGTGTCTGGATATTCAAAGGAACATTTGTCAATTTGTGAGGGAAGAGAGTGGGAGTTAATTCACTGAGTAACCGGTGAACCCCAGTACTAGTTCTAGTGCAATGCAGACATGTTCAAATGATTTCCATTGCAATTGAAAGCAACAGTGAAACTGTGTTTTTTTTTTAAACGCTTCTTCCTGCTACAGGATGTGAGTTTAAAGAAGGATGGGTAACCTAAAAAAGTAGTTCAAAGTTTCAAAAGACTTTGCTCATAATCTTTAACTGTTCTGTATTCTGTAGTTTGAATGTGAATGAATTGTGGCCACAGTGACACAGGTATTGGAAACAAGCAAAAATGAAAATCTCAGCACCACTATTTTTCTTCCTAATTTCTTATTGTCAGTGTTTTTAGTTTCTCAAAAGCCCAAATAGATTTTTTGCTCTAAAAATATTTTCATATTAGTAGTGGATCACATGAATATTGTAAATTGAATGAAGAACAATATTTTCAAATCAAATCAATCAAATCAAATCTAATCAGGTTTATTGTCATGTTGCTGTACATACACAGTAGTACAGGCAAGATGAGATATTGTTTCTTCAGGATTATTCAACCAGCAAGTTTTTCATGTATAGCATCAATATTATTGTCCTAGAATTAAAATCTGTGCAATATTATGACTAGCCCATAATTCTTTGTTGTGCTGAGTTTTTTAGGGTCTTTTGTCCTCTTGCAACTCTGCTGTTATCAGCCTGGTTTTCAGCAGCACCCAGTTGTTCTCAGCTAAAAAGCTCTTTTTAAACCCAACTGCACTCCATCTACTCAGGACCAAACAATAGACAAAGTCAGTGACTACGACGTGAACACAGTTGAGTATTAACAGTTAAGTAGAAGCTGACTGAAAACAGCTAAAACAACAGAGATTATGCGACTTTCATTCACCAGGTGGACAGAAAACACGCCTTGAGATCATGCTAATGTTATTCTGTGCTGTTTGATGTGTAAATAGGCGGCTGCTTGCGAACACATATGTCATAGAAACTTTCTGCTGTATTTGCAGCTTGTTTCAATGACCCCAAGATGCAAGGTTCACTCAGTGGCTTATCTTTTACTCAAGAGTATTTTTGCAGCATTTGAACCACAAGCATTCTTTAAAAATGTTCCTATTATCTATGAAGCCTGTAAAAAGATAAACCAACCATATGTTAGTCCATCATGCTTCCAAGTAAACCTTAAGGTAAACCGGTCATGGATTAAAATGGGCTGGGGAAGCTCCAGAAAAACTTTCCCTTCTGTGTTTCTCATTAGATGTGCAGTTTTGTGACGGTGTTAAACTGAGCGGTTTACCCCTGAGGTTAACAGAAAGACATAGCCAGTGTGTGCGCATGTGTGTGTGTGCAGCCGCGGAGTCTCTTTCCTTCCTTTGCAACAAATAATAAAAGTATCTTCTTTCTCTCTAGCTCTTTTAATCCCTTTTCTCTTCTTCTTAGGTGTAACCAGATAGGACAGTGTGTGTGTATGCAGTGTGTTACCTACAAAATTTTTGTTCTATTTTCGTTCCCATAGAAATGGAATGAACAGCCAGGGGGCCCACAAGCACCGCTCAACATCATCATCTGAACTCTTTCAGTAGAACTGTGAATGGCTTAGCTTTCTCTTCCTGGTCACACCTTGTGCCTCAGACAATGTAACAGTAGAAAGCCTGGGAGGTGTGCTCCCACAGGGAGGATCTAATTCACTCAATCATTGTCTCTCATTAGCACCCACACTGTTCCTGTAATCAGAACAACAATCTCTGACTGATTGTTAGGACTGAAGCTGAAGAAATTTTTATTTTGAGGTGCTGATGTATAATTTCAGTGTTTTGCTGTCATCGGTACAAGTTGTAAAATTCTCTCAGATGGCCCATGTGGCTTCTGCGAAGAGCAGAATGGTGACAGCTCTGTGTAAAATGAATGGGAAGGGATGTACTGTGTGAGTATAGAGACAGGAAGCAAAGCACGCCGTATAGATGTAGATACAGATCTTTGTCACATGAACAAACTATGTAAAGTGTAAGTCAGAGGAAAAGTACAGTGCAGACTTCTGACTTGGTTGTCACACTGTCCTAGTTTCTAAATAGGCCTGAAGGAAACATGTTAGATAACTTCAATTTATATGTCTACACACACACACACACACAAGGTCAAACAGAACAAAAGACCGAGTCATCTCATTACTCCTTTTGTCAGGAGTTACAGGGAATCCTGCCCTGCTGTTAAAGACTTCAGGGAAATCTTCTCCAACGGGTCACCTGACACACTGAGACTGTTTGGGTTCAGGTCAACAGAGAGTATTGGAGTTTTCCATGACACAGAATACAGCATTAGCATTTCTGTGTTGTATGTATGTAATAAAAGTTAAGGAACAGTCTTGTTTCACTGGGCTGCACCTCTTCTGTTCAACATTAGCTCTGTTGGGAAAATATAGTAAACTATTGAAGAACTACAGATTAGAAATAAAGTACACTCAAAGAATCTGTGTTTAGTTAGTGTGCCGAAAACACAAACTATTTACATCCATAAAACCATTCACTTGCCTGGAAAAAAGCCACCCATTTACAAGTCAAACAAGAACGCAGATGTTACAACCTTAACCCCGATAATTGACATGGAAAAAAGGCAGGTACATCTTCACTTGCATGGGCTGTGTATACACAGACATCCTAATTAGTGTTTGCTTGGCTAAAAGCTGTCTAAGAAGCACATAAACATGTTGATTTGCTTCAGAGCCATTAGACTTTTAAGCCTGTTTAACAGCCGTCTGTGTTGCCATGGGAGGCAACAGTGACCAAATAAGGCAGCGGTGACAAAACTCAGGCAGAACTCTGTGGACTAGTAAGCCAGAAAAATAAATGGTGAGAAGACAAAGGTTTTGATTAGTGTATTGTACGTATCCAGCAGTTCATCAGACACAAAACTACTTACTGTGCTTTTTACTCATTTTCATGCCTTTTCTGTTGTCTGTCTGTTGTCTTGTAGCACCTATATAAGGGAGTTCACTACCGCTGGGGATTCTTTGCACCTTGTGGTTCTGCACTGGATGAAGTAAGGGACATGGTGGATGCAGGACAGGTATGATGCCAGATTTATCCTCTCTGAACCGTTTACTGACTGTGAGTGAATAGAAACGGACTTCTGTTTCCTTCCATCTTTATTATTGTGTGCACATTACATTCTCACAAACGTACATTTTAAAATAAGATTGGAGGTGGCGTAGCAGTTCTTTCAATTATTCACTATCTTTGTGAAATGCATGAGTCAAAAAGTAATTGGACAATGAGTCACGTTATATTCCATATAAATACATTAAACATTTGAATAGAATAGAATAGAACTTTATTGATCCAATTGGTGCAAACCTCAAGGAAATTATTGAAATGGGTGATCCAGTGTGATAGACTACACTGTATGCAGTAAGAGTGTGTGTGGTTTAACTGAAGCATGTCACCCTTTATGCAGATAACACCCTTCTGTCTATTTCAGTTGCTCACTTGAACATGCTCCTGGAAAAACACAATTTAAATGCATAAAATGAAGCCTGAAGCAAATGAGGAAGAATTACTCGTCTTGCATGATGGAAAGTTCACATACAGCGAGACAAGCCTTAACATACTGTCTATCATTCATTATTGAGATGGAAGGCTTGTGTGACCTCTGCTTAGACCTCCTCTGTCTGCTCTCTGTCAGATCCGGGCCGTGGTGGAGGAGACGTTTCGCTTCTCGCAGGTTCCCCAGGCCCTTGACAAGGTGGAGAAAGGTCACGCCCGAGGAAAGACTGTGGTAGAGATCAGCAAAGGGGGGCAAGACTTTGAGCACTGACTCTTGAAGCGTGTGTGCAATTTTCTTTTGCACAATTATGAAACAAACTGAATGAACGTAATTTAAAATCAAGGTTTCAACTTATTATACACACAGGATGCTTCTCCAATCTGTGGCTTTTGTACTTATGTCTTCTTAGAAACGTTTGCCTCAATGAATAATAAATAAGCTACTAAAAGGAAAGTCATTTAACCACTGTCAGTTTGTTTAAAGAGCAATTGTGAGTAATTTCTGACTAGATGTTAGATGTTTATTCTCAGAAAACATTATGACTTAGTCACCGTCAATGTCATAAACACTCGCTGAGGACTTCACAGTGTACATGTTACATAAGGGAAGAATTTAAACTACGTGTTTTGACTTTGGTACAGCAGTTTTATGCTCAGTGACATAATTAACAACAACAAAAATGATAATACTACAAAACACGGCCGGTGGATGTTGCTAAATCAATTCACTGAATAAAACCAAACAAGGATAACAGAGTGACATTATAGAACACGCTTGAATGGTTACAGTTTGTCCTCGATGGCTGCACAACAATATGCCACTTCTCTAAAAGAAAATAAGTTCCGTATATAGAGGCTGAACAAAATAACATCAGCACCTGTTAAAATGATGAACTTCTATACGAAAGTGCTGCTTTATGATGCTCAAGTTTGCTTAAGAGGCGTTACTTCACCTCTAGCGACACAAGTGCAGTGTATTACACTGTGTTGTTTAGTTTCTCATTGTGTATCTCAGATGTTTGAGACTAAACTTGGGAGGAAATTCCTCTTTTTATTCTGCTGTTGGTTTTAACTATGATTGTTGTTGTTATTGTGAAGAAACATTTCATTTTTTGCAACTAAACAAAACATAAGAACATAAATCTGTTTCTTTGCACCAGATCATACTGGAGTGTTTACATGACAACTACCTTGATGTTTGTTTTTAAAAAAAAATGTTTTCTTAAAAAACAAAACAAAGCAAAACAAGAAAAGACAGAAAATCTCTTTTTTTATTTTAATGTGTAACAGTTTTCTCAAAAATGTACAATCAACAGTGGGCAGCATGTGTTTTAAAATGTAATCTCCATCTATACACTTGATGCTTATATACACGCTAATGCAGTAAAGTACACTTTGTGTAAACGTGTAAAAACGTATAAAGGCTGAGAAAGATATCAAAACTTTACAATAGATCGTTCTGATCTACAGTAATTACAAAAAGAAAACATCTAAATCTACAGAAATCTTTGGAGTGAAGGCACGTCAGACTTCATATTGCAGCTGTCAGTATACATTCATATTTGCCAACATGATGATCAGAAAACTGACTGAGAAACCATGTAGAAGTACCATAAGGTTGGAGAAAGGTTTGCAGCATTGAGACAGGGCTGAGTTCTCACTACGTGCAGTGAAAACATGGAGAGGAGTCTTTGGTATGCAGTGTTTGGAATCTAAATGGCTAAAAAAGCAAAACATTTTACATCGCTCATTTATTCTGAAAACACAAAACATTATTTCATCGAATGCTGTGTGAGTGCATGTTCAAAGTTGGGTTAATGGTTATGATGTTGATCCAGGCACTGGTTACCCGCCTCAACACAAGTAAAAATGCTACAAACAAGTGCAAACCCCACTACAGGGTACATCTCTGTGCTGTGGGTTCCACAGTGGAGCTACACCGCAGGGCCCAGTCTCCTCATAGAGCTGCAGTGAGCTGAGAGGGCCACAACAGAGCTTCTCTGATGGGCTGAAGCTCATCACATCACAGGATCTCTAAGGTCCACCTCTGGGTCAGTTTCCTTTCATCAAATGTGTTGAGGATCACCTGGTTCTTGTCGTACTGATGACCACCTAGAAAACAAAAAACACAGATTCTGTTGACATGTGGTTTACACCAACTGATGAAGCGATGTTTTCCCCATATGCAGCACAGATCAGTTACAAATTCTTACTATAAAAAAGGCAAGAGGGAATCTGTGGCAGTTGGTCATTATGAAAAACAAAATAATGAAACCCAGTTAGTAATCTGTGCTTAAAGTCGCGTCAACTGCCAAAACAGACATTTGTAAGTGCACTTACAGTCGTCCTCAAATGTATTCATACCCTCCCATTAAAGAAGGAAAAAAGAACAGCTGTCACTGAAATAAAATGAAATGAACAAAAGTAATAATAAATAATTTATGAAAACCATGACATTGCTTTTGAATTGTGGTTCAACAGAAAGATTTTTTTTAAGACAAACAAACAAACAAAACAACAAGCAAACAAGCATGATGGGACCCGTAAACTAATATTTTGTTGAACAACCCTTCAATTGCTGCAATCAAGTGTTTTCTGTAACTTTCAATCAGACTTCTGCACCTGTTGACAGGTTTTTTGATTTTGGCCCACTGCTCATCAGCAAAGTGCTCTGATTTGTCCAGGAGAGGTTTTTTTTTTAAATTTTTTTTTAAAAATTCTTTTCAACCACAATTCAAAAGCAATGTCTTATTTCACTAAATTACAATTTACTAAATTTTTATTTATTATCAACTTTTTCAGTTTCTAGTTATTTGAGCGACTATTGTGAATTTTGCCTTTTCTTTAATGGAAGGGGATGAATAAATCTGAGGGTGACTGTATGCAACCAGCCATTTTCACTACTGCACCTCCTCAGAGCACCAGGAGGTGGAGCTGTTGTATTAAATCTATTAGCAGAAAAGGACTTTAGTAAGATAAGATAAGCTTTATTTGTCACATACACATTCATACACGGTACAATGTGCAGTGAAATGTATTTTGTACCAGCCTCCAGTTTCAATGAAGAAAAAAAAAAAAGTTGTTAAAGAAGTGTATATACTTTATGTCTGTATGCACATGTATACATACACATAAATAATCAAATAAATACAGCAAATGGAACACTGTTATGGTATATAAGGTATGTAGAAGGTGCCTGTGTACATTGCACAGTCGGGTTTTAAAGCTCAGAGTTGAGCAAACGGATGGGCTGAGGGAAGAAACTCTTCCTCATTCTCTCAGTGGCAGCCTTTTGGCAACAATGGCGTCGGCCTGACGGCAGCAGGGAGAAGAGAGAGTTTCCAGGATGGCTAGGCTGCTTCAGGATAGCCATATTAGTATTAGTATTCACATTTGTCTTTTCATAAGAGTCTCATCACCTGTAACTTTGAATCATGTTTTGTTATGAGCTTGAATGAGTCCTTCATGTCAACATAGGTGGTGGGTCCTCTTCCACAGAGCCCACCATATTTCTACAGTAGCCTATAATGGACAAACCAAACAGATAGCCTTCAATGTTTTTTTTCGTTGAATTGGTTCTTGTACATGCTTGGAAAGGGAGAGATGAAGGAGGGTATTCAGCTGTTTTCTACTTCACTGCTAGATGCCACTAAATCCTACACACTGGTCCTTACAGACGAAGCATTCTGACCTTTGACCTCCAGGATCAGTTCAGGTTTGAGGTGGGAGCGCACCAGACCGTCCGGGGTGATGCTCCACAGCTGGTTGTCTTTGCCTCGCTCAGGGGAAACGCAGAGCCGGCAGCCCGCCATCACCATGCTGCCCGCCGTCTCCAGATAACAGTCCTCCACCAGCTGGGGACAGAGAGGACATGATGGAGGTGCATATTAATGAAAGTCCTGATAAATTTTCTTTTCTGCCTAATATCTACTTTAACCAATTGTTATATTTTGGTTTTCATACAATCTATGTATAAACACTCTGTTCTTGCTGTGATTTACGGTGCCTCTGCCTCAGCTGCCACAATACAATGCAACTAAATCCACATGGACATGGATAGTGATACATGCGCATATTTTGTATTTCCAGTAAATGCTGCAGCAAAACTGTAAAAAGATCAGAGCAACAAACAAACAACCAAAGAAAAACTGGCTTGAAGTGTAAACAAATCCTAAGCTCTTGTTTCTTGCCCACACCCTAACCTTCTATAAACTTGCACTGCAATCTGATAACAAGCTTCTGAGATAACCTGCTGACAGACAACAAACAGGTCAGACAACACGAGCTCCAGAGGTATCCAGAATACATTCTGTTTCCTGTTTTCTATTCTGACTGGATCACAGCTGTGTTTTCAGGCCGACAGCTGCTCTGCAATGTTGAAATGATCCGACCTTTTCCTTTATTAATTAACAAAGGAGGGTGGTGCAGCAGCACTACAGACCCACGGCTTAACTCAGTACAGCTTGTTGGGGTCATGTAGTCCTATGAACTCAATTGTTTATGGGTGGAAAGTAGGTGAGGCTTCCACTTGCTGTTCTTTCCTTCCTCACAATACTGCAGGTCTTTCTGCTGATGACTGTTATACACACTTTGAGTGTGCGTCAGGCCGCAATACGAAACGTGGCTTTGTTCACCTTTGAAATAGGTTAAAATGAAACGTTACACAAATATGACAATGAGTAAATTTCTTTAAGGCCACGTAGACCAGTGTTTCAGCAGTTTTACCTTGCAGGTGAGCTGTCCATTCCGATAGAGCCAGACCTGCTCTAACCCTCCTGTCTCCTCCACAGCCTGAACCCTCATCAGCTTGATGTCGTCCAGCGTTCCTGTCAGAGACAGCACACATCCTGTGTCCCTGTTCCGCAGACGGAAGTACATCTGTTTCTGTTGGAGGGAAACATACAGAATAATGAGCTTAGACCACATAGAAAATATGTACACAGAAAAATTGAGCTGTTCTGAACTGATAGTTGTTTTATTTATTGATTTTTATCAGTGCAATACTGTTTAATTTGCTACTTTATTTATTTATCAGATAGTGGCCCCAAAAAGTTTTGGACAGTTAAACTGTCAGCAAACTTAAAAAAAAAAAATGTTCAATTGGTATTTGATCCATAAAAACACATTTAGCACAACTTTAAACCATTACTTTTTTCTAAAATCAATAAGTCAGGCTGTCATTTGGGAAAGCGTGAACATACTCCTCTAAATGGCTGCAATAAAGTATGTGGGCAAGTTCTGACTATCACTAAAGTGGCAGACCACACTTGTGCTTTCTCTAAGTTAACTTGTATGACTTTCAGGGTTACTGACTTTCTACAGTCACCACACATGACCTTGGAACGGATTTGTTAAAAGAAACTGCAGAAAATTCAAAGACAAAAAGGCACAGTTTGTTTGCACAAAGACATCGATTCATCATATTAGCAAAAAAAACAAACAGAATCTGCACTTTCCACAGTTGGACGTATTATCAACAAGTTCAAGAACTTGTAACTGAGAACAGAAGAGGCATAGATAGACCCAAAAAGATCATCAGCAGATTGGACTTCATAATTGTGCGTAAAATCAAGAAAAGAGCCACGAAACAGCAGCAAAGATCCTTCCAGAGATTTAACAGATAAAACTTGATTTAGGTCTGCAAACAGTTTAAAGGGGAACTGTACATTCCTACTTTACAACAGTTTTTTTAGAATTAAAAATAAACGAGATGGGCAAAACTTCCCAGTGTAGGTACTTGTTATTATCGGATTCTGATTCCTGATTGGCCCATACCTGGAGTAATGGACGGAGGGATCCTATTCGCTGCCAGCCGCTGTACTGGCACAAATCTCCCACTTCACAGGGCTGGAGAAGCAGCTGCCGACCTCTGTAGTTAGTGCCTTCATACAACACCCACCTGGAGGGGGACAGTCAGCCATGTGTTATATCACCTTCAGAAACTTGCATAAAAAATGTGGGACAATGTTTCACAACGTCACAGACAGACAGGTAACATCATGAATTATAGTTGTTGTTTTAACTTTTTTTTTTTTTAACATGATTAATGCTGCTAGTGAGAACACGTTCAGTTCTAAAAACTAACACCAATTAGGGGAATTTCATGAGTCCCTGTTAGACTTTTTACAGGAATATGTAATGTCCTCAACGCAACAGTGGCTGAAAGTTAGGTTTAACAGTAAAGTACTTGGGCAACCTCTGTGCTAAAAAGAACGTGTAGTTTAAATACAAGCTGTAGTTAAAGGTCGCACCTTTAACACAATTTACTACATTAATTTATCTTCTAATCACATTAACAGTTCAAGAGTTTGAGTTAAGCATAGCTAGAAAATACATTTTGTATTTGTCAGTTAATCGCAATTTAAATAAATATCTACTGACATTATGAAGAAACATGAGCAGGTTTTATCATTAAAAACATGATCATGTGTTATGATGGTAGCTTACATTCCTCCGTCTACCACCAGGGAGCGTATCTGTGCGTCGCCGCCTGCCTGCAGCAGGTTTACAGCTCCGCTTGTCAGCATCATCCTGCGACCTCTGCAGCCCACTTTAGTGAACAGGATGATGGAGGGCAGAGAGAACTCCTGGAGCACAAGAAAAGAGCGTTTAAATTTACAGTTATGTGTTACTGAAAATCCCCAGAAATGACACATTTGTCACCAACAAGGCAGAGTAAGCAGGACACAGGGCCCTACAGATTCTTTCTCACACACAGTATACTCACATGTCCTACAGTCTGTATGGATCGAATGTGACAGTCTGACGACAGGAAGCCCATGGCCTCTGTGTTGGGGTATTCTCCCTCCTCCAGGACATACATGTTTTCTGTGAACCGGGCTCCTTCATACGCCACCCAGCTGACACACAAAAACATTATTCTTACATTTTTCTATACAGAGTTTACTTCTTACACTCAAATACAGTAAACTGAATTTCAGAATAGGGTTGTTTGTTGTCCGGTGAAACTCTAAAATGCTAAGTGCTGTTGAGGTTTTCCAGATGAGGTTTTGAAATGTAAAAATTTTTTTAAATGTTTTTACAGAGCAAATGTTTAATCCCAAAATGGCATTTTTTGTATGCAGTCCAGTTGAGCCCACCTGCCAGCCAGCACCTTACAGGACCTGGGAGAGAAGTCCTCAGCCAGAGCTGCTGAGCTGTCCTCCAGAGCCACCAGTTTGCCCTGGAAGTCTGGCTCAGAGTACAGCTGGACCTGAAACACACATTCAACAGTCATCCAGCAAGAACATACAACTAGAGAGTCTTCATTATATGTATGTAATATAGGACTGTGGATGACGGATACCTTGAATTTAGTTGTTCCCACCAGTGTATCCTACAGAACAGACAGGAGGAAAGTATTAGAAACACAAGCTTTACACACTGCAGTATTGTACGTGAAAAACTCTGTTAGTTCTAATCATTTCTTACGTGGAAGACGGGCTGTATGGATGAGATGTTGAAGTGCTTCGCTCCCCAGTCCTCTGGGTTTGCATATAAGCCTTTCTCCAGGATGTAGAGCTCTCCACTGAATCCAGGCTTTTCAAATGCTACCCACCTGCAATGCACACAAATACAACATCCTAAAATACAAAACAGCACACTGACAGATTCATTCATATTCAGCAGAACTCCTTCTTTTAAGGCAAATGCAGGTAATAATGTCACTTGTGTAATTAAAAAACACTTTTTGAGGTAATATCTGCACTAACTACTGACTTCAAAATGTCCTTTCATTCATTTGACACACTGTACAGTATGTGCTACACTTAGACCATGGCTTCCATTTGCTCAAACATCTGAAGGAGGCATGTTAAGTACACTATGCCTCCAATGGTAACAAAAGGTTTATGTATTATTAACATCATCAGGGTAAATGCTTGCCCTCAAGAGGAAAGTTTTTCATCCTTAGTCAAACCTGACGTAGCAATTACGCAAATGGATCAGTCTCGGCAGCTTTTTCATAATTCATCCTCCGGGGCTGTGTGTGTGAGCACTTATGAGCGTAGGTGTGTATGTTTGTGTGTAGAGTGATAGAACACTTAGTCACATCTGTAAGGTGAGAAGAACACACCCAAAACCAAAACTCTAAGGGTGTGCACATCACCGAGATAACATCTTTCCCTCCTACTTGTCTGGATTTTTAACTCTTGTTTTGCTTTTCTTTTTTTAACAGAAGCACTTTGACTTACACTCCATTGGTGACGTGGACAGACCGGGTTTTGACTCCATGGCCGACGCCCTCCATGTTGACGACGGGGCCCAGCAGGTCCACCTTGAGTCCAATCTCATTGCAGTTCGGCTCACTGAACAGTTTCAGGTGGGGGGACAGGAAATCCTTGGGAAGATGATGACACAGCAAAAATAAGTAAACAAGATAAAAAGACAGATCTCTGGGTTTAAGTCCTGTGCAGGAAAGGGGCTGTCATAGAGGAAACTAAATCTTTAAAAAAAAATCACCAAAAACACCATTTATCATAGACAGAAACTATAAAAACACTTTTAAAAAACCGGAAAGATTGACCAAATCACAGCTCAAAATTGTGATACTTTCTAAAAAATGATATTATTCTACATGGCTCATTCAAAAAGTCGCCAAAAATAAACCTTGTTACACCAGATCCTGTAAAAGCAAAAAATTCTGCACTCCTCAGCACAACAAGAGAATGAGAAGTCCCTGTTGACTCATCTGTGGACAGTCACATGACAAAAAATCCAAATTCAGAGCAGAAAGGAAACAAGTGTGACAGCAAAGAAGAGAAACTGAGAAGGAAATAAAGATGATTCATAAAAACAAATGCAGCATGGCTCAGAAACAGTAAAGAGCGGAGCGAGTTGTTGGAAGATACATTCAGCATGCTGAAATATCTTTCTAGAGTTGGTATGAAGAGGCTTGTAAAATTTATTTTGTAGAGAAAATAAAATGTCTAAAAATGTAAACAGTTAAATATCTATTGTATGCAGCGTATTTTTTTCTAGCTTTGGTAAGATTTGTCCTTCTTTGATGGTTGTGGCATCATAACTTAGGTAAACTGCACATTTCTGAGTTCTCTCTAGGAGCAGTCACAAACTGCTTCGGGTTCAGAGAATGAAATGACGGATGAGCTGAGATGTGCAGAAAACATCAGTGCTCAGTACCAAACAAGGACACAAGATCAGAAGAAGAAGGGTCTGGCAGGTTAGTGACACTGACTGTGACAACAGGCCGAAGTGACTGCAGTCCATCCTCAGCTCCTCCCCAGTCACTGCAGTGAGGATACTCCCCCTCCTCCAGGACGTACTGCTGCCCTTCAAAGTCTGCCTCTTGATAGCCTACCCAGCTGTAACAGAGAAAACAAACAAATAGTACATTTTCTTTATGCCACAATCATTAAAAAAATAAGTCTCCTAGAATCTGATAAAATGTATGTTGTGGGTTTAATATTTTAGCTTTTACTTTTCTTATGTGACTTCAAGTATCCTAATGGTCGGCTGCCTGCAAAACCAAAACTAACTTGCAAATAGCTGCGTTGTGATAATGATGATAAATGTATTCCCTCAAATACTCACAGACCACCAAGTATCTTTATAGATCCCACTGCAGACAATGCCTTCTTGTCCACATCAGCTTTGCCTTCTTCCTTTTCTTCCTGTTCTTGCAAGTTGTAGACATCACCGTTCACCTCCATACACTGTCCGTCAAAGTTCGGCTTCTCGAACACTAAGGCCTGCATGAGGGGAAAACAGGGAGGAGTTAACAAGCAAAGATGTGATCACAGTACTTCAAAGTGTGTATAAAGTGTCGATGAGTTTGTGCCACTATATGTGTTATTGTGGTCCAGCCCTGTCCAAAGGTAGAATGTCAGTCATTCTATAGATTACTGTAAGTACCACATATCTTGACACGTCATCTAACATATATCTACTGATAAGGTACTCAGGCGACAAGTACAGGCAGCAGCTAAGAACTGTCAGCATTCCAGGGGCACATAGTGGAAAGTGCTTGGACATGCTTGTTATGAGTTCTTTCCTTGACCTGAGACGATTCTACCTTTTCTTCAATCTAGGTATCAAGCTTTACCTTGGCTATTTATACTATTCTTCTCCCTGTCTCTATGCATTTATATGCACAATTGAATTAACTTTTAGTCTTCTCTGTCCCATTCATCCTCACTCCAACAGGTTGAGGCGATCCATCCCTGAGCCTGGTTCTGCTAGAGCTCTCTTACTATTAAAAGGGAGTTCCTCTCTCCTGTTGTTCTTGCTGGATTTATAAAAGCGGCAACCAGATTTTTTTTTTATTTAGTCAGACAAATATATATTTTATATAATATTGAAGGGTTTTATTCATAATGTTTAAATTCCTCAGGTGAATTTAAATGATCAGTAACTGAAGGGTATTCGTGTTATTCACGGGATTGTTTGACCCAGTGTGAATTTTAAGCATCGTATGAAGCCATCATTGACTTTTGTTGGGCAACACTGCTTTATGTTCGCAAATCAGTTTTTTCCTTCAACCAAAATGTTTACAGAAATTCAAAAAATTTTTTTTTTTAATATCCCATCACACTGGAGAACTTAACTAAATAATTTCCTTTCTCCTTAGCATTACACGTGCATAGACAAGTTGTAGTGTTTCCCAACCACCTGTGAATTTGATCCAAACCATCAGCATAATGAATCATATAGACAAACATGCCTCGGCTCAACTTCAAGGATTTATGTTAGCCACAACAAGGTTTTTACAAAACAAATGTATCATATATGGTTTGACTCTGTTGGCCTGTGTAACATGTGTATCCATCTCCCCCAACAGATTGTAAAGAGAACAAACCTTGACTTCATTAGGATGCTCCACCCTTATTGCTCCCTGAAATAAAGACACATGTTATCAGACATGAGGCAACTGATAAAACAGCAGTACACTGCATGTCATGCTGTACACTTCATGTACCGTACCATTCGGAGGGGTCTGAGAGAGCCAACGAAAGGCTCAGGGAATCCCCAGGTCTCTGGGCAGGGATACTCCCCCACCTCCAGCACTCCTACGAATCCATTAAACCCTGGATCAGTGTACACCAGCCAGCTGCAGACACACAGATGCAGTATGGGAGAAAGAGTAAAAAAAACAGAGGAAAAGAAAGGTGAGCTGGGTAAAACACTTCAACATGTTTTTCTTTTTCTTCACTACTAGTTTGAAGAAGTAAATCCGGCTTAACCTCTCACGACAGGAATAATTAGAGTACTTTCACTTTACGCGATAAGCCAGTTAAAAAATCTCAGTTCTAACCATCAATAATGTGCAGCAGTAAAACTATGACAACCACAAGCTTTGGCCTGCAGCTTGCATTCCTTCACAGACAGAAAACAGATGCTTTACACAGACTCTTTCTCAAGAGGTCTCCGGAAACTTAACATCATCGAACGCCTAGTAAGTAGCAATCTTGCCACCAACAATAAAACTGACACAGTGAAACAACCTGTTCTACATACATATTCGTTCCTTTAAATGGGTGAGATGAAAGAACTGTTGCTATGACTGTCAGCTGAACTTACACTCCTGAGTGGACCTTAATGGAGCCGGTGGTCTGTGGGATCCCATAGGAGCTAATCTCTACTGCCTCATCACAGTACGATGACATCCTGCCCAAGCCATTCACCTCTGCAAACAGGTCAATTTGGGGTATGCTATAGTCCTGTAAAACACATAAAAGAAAAACAGGTTCTTAATTTTAAATTCTTCTTTACATTTAGGGCTGGGTAACTATGCTTTTGATATATATATATTTTTAAATACTATACTTACAAAACCTTTATTTATACTCAACAAAAACAGCTGAACCTTTATTGTAATAAATGTAAGTATAGGATGTCCATAAAACATAAAACACTGTCTAACTGATGAAAGAATTATGAAAGAGTACAAAATGAGCAAACACATAATGCAAGCTTTTGGTGCCAGACAGTTTTCAACTGGTGCCACATTTATGTTTTTATACTAAAATGATTTAGATTTGATACCCAGCCCTGTTTTCCTCGAGGATCACATGAGGCAGGAAACAACATCAATAGTAGTGTGATGTAGTGTGACTGCCAGTACAATGAAGCCAAATAACAGCTAACTTACCCTGACTGCCAATCGGACTGAACCGATGACCATAGGTGCAGTTGGAACCGGCTGCCCCATCTGGTCTAGTGTTTCTGGAGTTCCCTCCTCTGCCCACATATTCACTATTTGATCTGTAGGACCTTCCTCGAGGGCAATGATGCGACCCTGGAAGCCAGGTTTTTCATAGAGGAGCCAGCTAAAGAGGGAGAGAGGATTATACCACATTATCAGAAATTCCTACAGTAAGGTCGTGGATAGCTGAAGAGAAATTACACAGCTGCATTATTTCCGTTGGGAGGTCCAATAGATAGATGCTTGTAGAGATTCTCTAAGTTAAAGCACAGAACTCATATTTACAGAAACCAAGTGTAGAGGAGTTGAAAATCAAACCCGTCTGTTACACAAAGACTGGCAGAGGAAAGTGCAAAGTGCAGTCATATCACTTGGACTTTAAATGATGCTGCATTGCAATACTAAAGAAACAAAGAAGCAAGCTGCCTCACTTCAATGAGAATTGCACCTGTAGACATCAGTGTTCCTATTACAGCTACATAGACCTATGACCAGTGAGAAGGCCCGTACCATCCTCTGATGACTCTGACTGATATGACAGGGGACAGCTTCATCGTGGTGGCATCTTCTATATCATGGTAGAATTGAAACGCCTCCCCTCCAAACTGAGCTTGTTCATGAATGACGATCTAGATCAAGAAATAGACGTGTTATTGCAATCTGTGAAAGCAACTGCTATGCAAAATGTTATCAAAATTAGTGTACCAAACATTTAATCATACCTTTCCAGGCCTTTTGTGGAAACCTCTTTCTACAGGTACCTGTGAGAAATTATGAGAAACTGTTCAATTGTGAACTGTGTTTTAAAAAATACATCAGATGTCATTAGTGCTGAGTTCAATTACTGGCCTCCTCAGAGCCAAGTTGTCCATAGAAAGAAGAAAAAAAGATGGTATCTAACTCTATTAATTTTACACCATAATCTTGCATATTGCCACAATAATATTTACATAGAATTGGCTCTTAGTGGTTAGGTTAGTTTGGTCAAATTAGAGTTTTTGCTACTACTAGTTACAGAATTACTTTTAGCTGATTATTGCAAGTGTTCATCCAGAACTTTTCATAATTTCAACAATTTATTACCTTTGTCTATCTGACGATCAATCCTTTACAGTTTTTGTATATAATTTTTTTTTTTTTTTTTAACATAAATACATAATTATTATAGCAGCAACTAACTATTTGGAATGTAAACACATAGTGGAGTAAAGGTGTCCTAGGCAGAGAACCCACACTGAATCTGTGGATAACTGTCTATCTTCAGATTGTTTTACTTGATGACCAACAAGATCTAACATGTAATGTGCACTATGTTTATCTCAACATCATTTTGCATGGGTCTGCTTTATTTGCCTATTGATGCAAATATCTTATCAGGAAATTCTGTGTTTTTGATGAGTTGATCTTGTTGAAGATTTCCTTTGCAAAATTCCAGACAGATCACGTTTATTTCACTTGTCCTTACTTGCAAATGAATCATGACTTAGTTGCAACAACATCGTATAACAAAAAGAACTGGATATGAAAGTGGAGCACGTGTCACCATGGAGATAAACGAGGACAGTATCAGTGCTCTGCATGTATGCTTAGCAGGTCAAATCCCATTCAGGCTTTGGAAATCATTTTTACAGACTATTAGTAGTTAGCAAATATCTAACTGACCTATAGAAGCTGCTTATTTAAAATATACTGCCTACCTTTGTTGTAGTAGAAAGTCCATTTCGAGAGGTCTTCTGGCTGTAGTTTGTGGTTGGAGGCTGCCCTGCAGGGCCCTTCAGGCCAATGTCCACATTAGGTACACCTGCTGCTGAGGCCTGGTCCATAGCCCTACTCCCCTTCAAATTCAGGTCTGTTTCAGTCATCTTTGTAGAGACCTGGGAGGTCTCTGACTCCCTTTTGTTCTTCTTGAGGTATTTCTCTAAATGATCAGGCAGCTTCATCTCTGAGAACAAGGGTGGAGGAGGAGCAGAGGAAGGGCTAGGCGCTGACTCACCAGCTGTACCTATATCACCGCCTGTAGATGGGCTTTGACCTGCATTTGTCACATCTCCATTATCAGCCTTAATGTCGGGCAGAGGTGAGTCTGTAACTCCCAGCTTCCCATGTGAAGGCAGCTTCTGCTGCTGGCTGGGCGAATGTTTGCTATTTGAGGTGAGGGTAGTTTCCTCTTTGGTCTTCCTGAGGGAACGAGGGGAACTCAGCAAGCTGGAGAGGATGGACATTCTTTCAAGTCTTGACGACAGCTTCCCACGTTCTTCTCCATTGTTTTGCCCTTCTTCTTTTCCTGCTTCAACTCTTGTCCCCTCAGTGACTCCATCCTTTCCTTCTACCTCATCAAGGGTTTTCATTTGGTGTTTTGATGTGGGCAAGTTGTCTTGTGATCGTTTCTCCAGGGTCCGACCTTCCCTATTAGCTGCTTTTTGTTTAAGCACCATAGCTGGTGAAAGATCCAGTAGACTTCTGCCATTTTTCCTTAAGCCAAATTGGAATTGCTCAGGATCAAATGTTCTCTCAAAATGGTCCTCCTTGATGGCTGGCATGGCAAAGGGAGGAGATGGGGACTTTCTACGAATGCGTCTTTTTGGAGGATGTGAAAAAGGAATTCCTCCCTCCTTAATGCTTCTGATAAAATCATCAAAGTCATCAAGCTCTAATAAGTTATCTTCACTACCTGATGCATTCATTTTTCTTTTGTGTTCCTTCTTCTGTTGAGGGCGATGTTCCACATCCAACCAGCTAGATGGAGACTCTGTCTTTAGCTGAAGGCTTTGAGGTGGTACCAATGATTTCCCAGAAACAGAAAGTGAAAAACTGTCAAATGTTGGCTTTGGAAGCTTTTGTTCTTCACTTGAAGTCTGCAGTTTGTGCCTCAATGTATTACCATTAGCAAAAGTCAGGGTTGCTGACTCATCTGTCTTTGTTGTTTCTTTGCCATCTTTATCATTATTCTCAGCATCAGTACGAATGGGTATTTCACTTAAACCAGTAGTGGGCTTTTGTTTTTGCTCTGCACCACCTTTTTTGCTAGA